TGTGCAGGTAGATGTCACGTGGCTGATAGCACAACAGCAGCTCCAGGTGTCATGGTGAAATTCTGGAAGAGTCCTCTTTGCGCTAACTTTGGAGATGACTTTCGTTATCTCTCTTAAACAAAGAAACAAACAAATACCTTTGCCCATTTATTCTTTGCAGCGCCGGGATCAACCCCAACTACTGCACGTGTGAACCAAGGGCATGTAGATCCCGGAAATGCCTTGAGACCTCTGGTTGACCAGTCCTAGTTTCAAATAAAACATCAGAGTGAGACTCTCATTGGTTGCGCAGACAATAGTATGTAAGCAAACTATTCCAGAGCCCAACTGTAAATATGTTTTCAAAACAAATACATTCATAGCTAAAAATAGGCTGTTTGTTTGTGAGGTTAAAAGTCCCTAAGAAGGAAGTAAATCTTTGGTGCTGAAGAATTCTCTCCAGGAAGCTGAGATAAACAATAGAAATCATGTGCTTGGGTGATGCTTGCCCAGAGATGGTATATAAGCCCTGCTCCCAGCAGAAGGCGGCATCAGACCATCCTCTCTTCTCCCAAGTCACTTTTCTGCTCATTTGACCTGAGTCCTCTCTCCTGAAACCATGGGTTGCGGTGGCTGTGGCAGCTGTGGTGGCTGTGGCAGCTGTGGCTGTGGAGGTTGTGGAGGCTGTGGAGGTTGTGGAAGTTGTGGCGGCTGTGGCGGCTGTGGTGGCTGTGGCAGCTGTGGCAGCTGTGGCTGTGGAGGTTGTGGCGGCTGTGGGGGCTGCAACAGCTGTACCACCTGCAGGTGCTACCGGGTTGGCTGTTGTGGCTGTTGTGGTGGCTGCTGTGGCTGTGGTGGCTGTGGCTGTGGTGGTTGTGGCTGCGGCTGTGGTCGCTGCTGTGGCTGCTGTGGCTGCTGCACCCCTGTGGTCTGCTGCTGCCGCCGCACCTGCTGCCGCTCTTGTGGCTGTGGCTCCTGTGGCTGTGGCTGTGGGAAGGGCTGTTGCCAGCAGAAGTGCTGCTGCCAGCAGAAGTGTGGCTGCAAGAAGTGCTGCTGCTAGGAAGGCTGCTGGCCCCCGGGCAGGTGCTGGCAGGATCCAGGCTCATATACATAGATACTTACATTCATACATACATACATTAGACAGTACTTACTGTAATCCCTCCCACTTCACCTACATATCAAGCTGTGGGGTTTCATAGAAAGAGACCTGATTAGAAAGAAGGCTAAAATAAGTCTGTGCTCTGCTGGAGACACCTAACCATAGATAAAGAAGTCAGCCTCTCTGAATTGTGTTCATTTATCTATGAAATAATAAAGTTGAACTCAGAATCTCTAAAGACCTTTTCAACTTTAATAGCAGATACATCTATTGAGTTCTTAAAACTGAACTCATGGTCCTTCTACCTTTACACTTTGAAGATTTAATTCATCTTTAGCTGATACTCACATCACATATATAACTTGAATACTGGGAGCATTATAATGTGTTCCCATTTTAAAAATCCACCACCAATTATAATCTGCATTGTAATGAAAACAGGGCAAAGTTCATGAAGGTCCAGAAAATTCACATTAACAATCTCAGCTGAATGAAAGAATGTATTCTAAGCTGGTGATGGTGGCACATGCCTTTAATCCCAGCACTCAGGAGGCAGAGGTAGGTGGATTTCTAAGTTCGAGGCCAGCCTGCTCTACAAAGCAAGTTCCAGGACAGCCAGAACTGTTGCACAAAGAAATCCTGTCTCAAAAAACCAAAATAATAATAACAATAATAACAGGAAGAAAGAACGTATTCTATTATTTTGAAATGTTTACCTTTGATGGAACACCTGTACTTGTACATCTGCTTACATTGGTTGTATACTGCATGTGTCTTGACTTAAAAGTGTTTCCCCCAATATAATTTATCAATAAAACAATAGAAAAATATTGTGTTTCACTGTCTTTGGTTTGATTTTCTTGGTGACTATGTTGACAACACAGATTTTGAACTCCAGGAAGGTTATAAGATAAACAAAGGTTAGCCAGGTGGTGGTGATACACACCTTTATTCCCAGGACCTTGGGAGGCAGAGGCAGGCATATCTCTGTGAGTTCAAGGCCAGTCTAGTATACTGAGCAAGTTCTAGGACAGCCAAGGCTACACACAGAGAAACCTTGTCTCAAAAATGACAACAACAAATGATAGAAAAGTTTTGACACTGAATATAATTAGGGAAATGCAAGCTACTGAAACAAATAGACACAAAAACATACAATGAGTCAATCGAATAGAAGTTTTTCTGCCTGATGTCAATAATTCTGGGTAGCTTTAAGTGGGCAGTAAGGAATATGGGCCAAGGGACCTGCTCTCCAATTAGTTATTCAAGATTTAGGTTTGAAGAAGGTGCTGACCTGGTCAATGTATGACCTCTGAGATAGCTTAGTTGTTCCCAGTCTATGGTGGAGAGCAAGGTAGGTAAAGCCTAGTCCTTTGCAAAGCATTTTGTCTTGAAAGTGACATGACTTTTTTTCCCTCTCTTCCTATTGGTTTGAAGTAGTAACATGGTCTTATTTAGCTGTAAGTGGGCAGAGCTGGGAAACACATACTGTGGAGCTGTATAATAATATGAGAGGAAAATTCATATGTATATATTCATAAAATTCATAAAAATCAGTGGCTAGTTATGTGTGTCATATGTAGCTCAAACTCTGTCAAGACTATTTCAGGAGACATGCTAAGGCAACTTTGGTGAGTGTTTACTACTTATTCCTACCCCTTGAATTCTTGCTGGAGTAGTTCAACAGGTCAGGCAGCAGACTGCATGGTTCAGACCTGGCTTGACATCATGCAAACCCTTTACATTGCATGGAACTTCCCAGAGATAGGCTAGAAAAGATAGTAGGAGCTGGAGAGTCCTGACTTGTTTTAAAAATATTAAGCGTGGTTCAAATTGTTTTCAAGGGATCTGATGTTATAACCTAGATGAGATCGCTATGGTGATTGCGGTGAACAGTCTTGTTTCTTATCCTTTTCAGTGTCTTCCTACTTGTCCTTCCTGTACCACAAAGGTGACACTTGCCCCAGGGTCTTCTGCATCTGGAATCTGGATACGCAATGACTAGAAGGACCTCTGAGAGATACAGAAAGCAATACAAGCTAAACTTGCTCCTTTCTCTTGCTGTTGAAAAGGAACATGGCGGACACTGAGTCTTCTGTGTTTTGTGGTTCCAATGACAGTTTCACAGATCTCAAGTTGCAGTTGAAGTGACAATAATTAGGTCAGTGTTCCAGGGTTCAGTCACCAGGCTAGAGTGTGTGGTAGGGTGCTGATGAAAACAGTGGTCTCCCAACCTGCACCTAAATCGGAGTGTTTGAACTTCACTGTTCCAGGAGCAGTGGCTTGATTTCTCTGCCTTTCTGAAAGCAGCAGAGGCAGCAGCTCCCTTTCAATAGTCCAGTTGTTGTAGCCTGGGAAGGCTTCCTGCAGATGAGCAAAGCCCCCAGCCTTTCCTCTGGCCTTTTTAGCAATTTTGCAGACAGAATTTCTCAATGGCATCTCTTCTCACTTGACACGGGCAGAAGAATTTTGATTTTTTTTTGTGAGTGGCTGACATGGTTACAAGAATGCTTTTCTCATCACTCTCTGGTCAAATTTTAGCCCCTTTAAAAGCCTGACGAAACACTGGTTCCCAGCCCATTTGAATAAACTTCTTTCTTCTGAACATCTGGACTCCTGCTGATTTTGTCATGCCATGTACTTTCCAATAATTGGCTTTAGTAGCTTTTGGCTTTAGCTCTCTTGGTTGCAGAAAAATAGAAACTAACTAAAAAGAGGAGGAAAGGGTAATTTATTTATGAGACTCTAGTACAGGTCTGTAGTCATTCTTTGTAAATGATAAGTTTTAGGCCTCCTGAAGGCCTCTCTGCCGACGCAGCAAACCGAATCAGACAGAATTGGAAAGCCCAGTTTAGGCAACCATGAGAGCAGAAGCCATTGCTGCATTTTAAAACGTGGCGTCAGGACATGTGGGAGCCTGGATCCAGATGCTGCTGCTGCTCATGTGGGCCCTTTGTGGACCCACCGTCAGCGCAGCCTCCTGTTGGCTATGGTGGCCACTCTGAAAGCATCTGAAGTTTCTCCCAGTTGATTGAGTCTTTCCAGGAGAGACTCACAAGTGAGTAGGAGAAAGCGTGGCGCCACAGTCTAGAAAGAGGAACTGTGGTATGTGGTTCAAGATTTGAATAAAGCCAGACACCATCATCCCTGCTCCATTGTCTCGCCCACTGCTTTTGCCATGGTTTCCATATTTGATCACTTTCCTTCTAATGACATTAGCCAAATTTTTCTGAGTTTATACCCTGTGGGAGTGTTCTTTAGCCTTTCTGGGGGAGGAGCTGTGTTTGGCGGGCTTTGAAGGGGCGGGTTTAGAGAAAGAGATGGGTCATAGGTGGGCTGTGTACCAAATATCTACTTTACAAGACTGGAATAATTCAGCATCCAAGATGCTGTATGTGGGCAAACAGTCAGGAATGGAATGCTAATGTTTAGAATAATCAGAAATATTTGTAGAGGAGAAATATTTTCCTAATCTTATACATGTTCATATTCTTACTCCAAAAATAAGAATACTTCACATATAACAATAATATTGAATTATGAAAAGTAGTTTATTCTAATTGGATATACTTGTCTTTCTACATCTTATAAGGCATTTCAGTAAAGAAATATTTTAGAGGAGTTATGCCACACAAGTCCATTTTTGTCAGTTTTACTCACTATATTTATGTGTAAATTCATCACACAGCAACCATGGATTTTTTTTTCTGTCTGTTTTCCTTCATCCTATCATAACATAAAATGATTATTGGTTCCCGTCATAATCCTCATAACGTCCTGGCCTACTGGACTCTGAACTGCTTTCCGAAACTAATTTTTCATAAGTGCTAAACTTTAACCAGAACCCTGGGATAAAAGGCCAGCCAGCTCCACAAAGCCCAGACACTTGGAGGACGTTTCTAACTGAACCAGGACAACCATGACGTGCTGTGAGGGGTGGACGTCCTGCAATGGCTTCAGCCTGCTGATTCTGATTATTCTAGGAGTAGTTATCAATTGTATTCCTCTGGGTATCAGCTTAGTGGAGGGAGATTCGGCTTCTCAAAACCCCATCTCTTGCTATGAGTGGTGGTTACCAGGAATTATAGGAGCCGGTGCACTGGTGAGTAATACTTATTTGGCTTGACTTGGAGACGGATGCACCAGTTTTTATCCGTGTCTTTAAGTGTGACTTTCAACCTTGCAGCCAACTATGTCTTCATAGGATATGGGTAGGAATGTAGGGTTACCACTGATTTATGCTGTTATATTGTGAAGAATGATAATTTACATAAAGAAAACTGTGGTCCATCCTAGAGACCTTAAGGCAAAAGCAAAAAGAAGTTGATGGAAGGTGGTTAGGTCATTACCTAACACATTCCTTCACAGGTAGGATGACACTTAGGAATTTTCTTATTTCAGATTAAGGATTTTTTCTTTTCTTTTTTTAAAATGTGGTCCTGGGGATGGAACTCAGGGCTCTACAACATTCTAAGCCACTAAGTTACACCCCCAGCTCTGGGGGGGGGGGCATTTTAAAATTCATGGCCTCATCTTTTCCTTTGTACCATTCTGATTTCTAGGCATTTATAAGGAATGCCGCAGTAGTGGGAAGTTGCTCGATGGGAATGAGAAACACTTCTGCACATGGGAAGTCTTGAGACAGCACAGTGAGGCTTAGCCTGCTTCTCAGGGGAGCTGGCCTAAGGCACAGCTATTGAAATCCTGGGCCTCTTTTATAAGCTGCTTAGCCACAGTCACAGTGTTTTATCACAGCAATAGAAAGGCAACTGAGACACTCTCTGACCTCACAGACTTTTTGCTTTTGGCTATTACACAGATCCCAGAATGCCATAGGGTTTTATAGTTTGATGATGGTGAATGGACCTTCTCTGTTGGGATCTGATGCAGAGTGGTCCGACATCGAACCCGTGAGTGTTCTTCACAATGAGCCAGCAGAGCAGTGAGGAGTCAGGTTTCCATTTTCCCCTCGGAATTCCGATGCAGCCATTCTGGGTAGAACCCACTTGTAGAGTCCAATTTTCGGATCTGGAAGAATGTGAGAGACGACAGGCCTGTCTCTGGTATATTACCGCAACCCAGTCACTTGTCCCAGGGCTCTGTTTTGGTGTCTGTATCATGGGATTAGGGATGCTGAAACCGACAATTCAGCACCTAGGAGCTTGTTTGTTTGTCCTATCACTTGTACAGATGCATCAGTGATCTAGTTAGTGCCAGAGAAATGGGGGGGGGGGGGGGGGAGAACTGTAAATGTTGACATTACTAGGGTTTTGCAGATAAGGAAACATGGAAGTAACTTTTAAAGAAACTCAGAACGTAAAAGAGGAGTTCTCCACTTGGATCACTAGTGATTGGAGGAAGTCTTACCCCTTCCTCATTTCACTCTTTTTCTCTCCCCTTCTCTACCCAACCCAGGATCTTGTTGTGCTTACAGGAGTGCACAGACATTCCCAGCTTTGAATCATAATATTTATATATGTGTTTTACAGGCAGTTGCAGGCAGTTGTGAGCCTCCTGATGTGGGTGCTGGGAACCAAACTTGGGCCCTTGGTAAGAGCAGTAAGTGCTCTTTATCCCTGAGCCATCTCTCCCACCTATGGGTCACTAATTCCTAGTGAGGATCAGTTTACTGCCACTAGGTTTCTCCTTAAGCTTACATAAAAACATTCTTTTTTTTTAACGATTTATTTATTTATTCATTTATTATGTATACAGTGTACTGCCTGCATGTATGCCTGCATGCCAGAAGAGGGCACCAGATCTCATTACAGATGGTTGTCAACCACCATGTGGTTGCTGGGAATTGAACTCGGGACCTCTGGAAGAGCAGTCAGTGCTCTTAACCTGTGAGCCATCTCTCCAGCCCTATCATAAAAACATTCTTAGAGCTGGGACTGAGGTCAGAGGATTGCAAGTCTCAAGTCACCCGGTCTATATGACACTGGGTCTCAAAAAACCCAACCAACCAACCAACTAACTAACCCACCAACCAACCAAACAAAAAAATCCCAAACAGCCAACCAACCAAAACAAAACAAAATCCCTAAGCAACAAAACCTCTTTGGCCACAGTACATTAAACTTTACATATACACTGTGCCCTTTGAACCTATCTGGCATGGCAAAGCCATTCAAAAAGCCTTCCCCACAGGCTGATGGCTTCTTTTCCTCTGACAACAGGAGTGATCCAGCCATCTGTTTCAGGTAGACACAGCCACAGGAAAAGCTTTTCGTAAAATCTGGGCTTCCTCTTCTAACTGCCGTGCCAGCTTCCAGGCTGAGCAGTGTGAAGCAACAGCCAAGCATCAGGCCTGCATCCAGTCTTCTAGAAGGTTCCCTCAGCAGGGCTGGCCTTCTCCGTACCTGGTGTAAGCAGAGTCAGAAGCTGGCCAAGAGCATCTCAGCCCTGGCTGCAAAGCTCCCAGAGTGTCCCAGATGACGTTTAGAGAAACTCAGCTATCTCTAGATATGAATTGGCATTGCTCAAAACACAGGAGAGAATATTTTAAAGATTTGTTACAAATATTAAAGAGCACTGGGTATCTCCTGTGCTCTTATTTTAGAGAAAGCAAGGAGCCAGGGGAGAAACTAGACAGACCAAGAAGGACAGAGAGACAGAAAGTTTTCATTTGTTGACATCCTGCTGGGTGTCAACTCTTCGGCCCAATACCATGCTGCCTAGTTTCAGCTCAACAATCATATGGGCTGCAATTACCACTTGTACTTTACAGACCAGAAAACAGAAGGCTGAGAATGTTAGCAAGGTCACACAATGGGTGTGAAGCCCAATTCTAGATTTATCTAATGCCAAAGCTAGTCGAATACCAGAGTCCTCAATCCCTGGCTCAGGCCCACAGAGGTCAAAGATAAAGAACCATAAAGTAAAAGGACCAGGAAGCTGAATCATAGAAAGGTCTACACACCTGTGAAACACTTCAGCAAATCTGGACTCCTTGTACCACAGCTAAGTCTACCTTGCTTCCCCAATAAATATTAACCAGAGATCATTAAAGCATCAAACACATGGAAAAGTCTGACGCTCTTCATAGGGAGACCCTCAGACTGGAGGCTAGCCCACAAGCAAACAGGTAGATGACGGCAGTGTTCTGAAGGCAAGCATATTTTCATGATCCTTGGCTGTGCAAAAAAGGAGGAAGCATATCTTTTTTAGGGGAAATTAGTCCTTCATGACATCTGTGAAAATTCTAACTTCTGTAGGACAGTTTGTAAAGAAGGAGTCATTAAGGGTGCTGAGCATATGGTCAGAGTCCTTAACTCCTTTGGATGTTGCTACATTTCAAATTGGGATCACTTCAGAAATGAGGGGTTTTTTATAGGAAACTGCATATAATATAAACTCTGGGGCTCATTACTGATTACTTTATGAGATCATTTATGGTTTTAGGACCAACCCAAATCAGAGGTGACCCTTTTTATCTTTTGAAACTGTAGCCAAGTAAAACATCACGTAATTATCTTGAACATTATCTACTAAGGGAGGGGACGTCAATATAAATGTTACTTGGTCAAGCATCAAAAACATTTTTAAATGTTCCTTGAAAAACATGAACAGAAAAACTCTTTTACTTTATATAAGTTAACTATAAGCCAGATCTCAATCATTCTTCTTATTGATTTTACTCATTACATAGGGGTAATTTGTCAAAGGGAGTTATTTCAAATCTTAGTGGGAAGCAAACGGCACAAACAGATTAGATTGCATGCAAAAGCTTTACAAAACAGGGCTTCTGTGTTCACCCTGAGCTATGGCTTTGCATGTTGCTTTCATGTTCAAGAGCCTAGAGGGATCCCCAAAGCTTGACTTCTATCACAACTTTTAACTATCTAAGGCTCTTATGTACTTCCTTTATGAAACTGTACACTTTCTAACACTGATGGAAAGCATGGGTTCCCATCAAGAAAATGAATAGTAATTATTTATAAAAACAAGAAGAAGCAAGACTGAATTTCATAAAACCTCATGCATTCAAATATGCTTAGGAATTACCAACTTTGCAACCCTACCTTTTTTTTTTTTTTTTTTACGAAAGTCCATAGATAATATGCAAATGAGTAGGGTTCCAATAAAACTTTCTTTATAAAATGAAGCGACAGGGGCAAGAAATGCAAATTCACCAGTTCCTGTTCTATGTGATGTGTTATGAAAGATCAGAAGCAGTGTCTTCTGAAACAACTGAAAAAAGCTTAGTGTATAATGTTGACAAAGATTTCTTTTCCCTTTTCCTCTGGGCTTTCAGCTATGTAGAGGGTGGCTGGGCAGCCATGTGTGTATGTGCAGCTTCTGAATTAGGAAGGCATCCGTATTCAACGGATAAGCCAAGCTTGGCAGCAACACAAAGTGACATGGAGTCAGCCTGTGATAGGATGGGGTGACACGTATTGGGAAAGCTGCCTTGTGAGAGGCATAAATCCGTTCTAGAAAACACAAAGGTAGATGTGGCTTTGGAAGAAAACAGGGGAAGGAACCATTAGAGGGAGCATGTCGTGAGCAAGGGTGCTAGGTCTGGGGGCGGGGGGGTGGGGGGGGTGGGAAGCAGGTGTGGCTGAAACAGCTAAAACCCATCACAGCTAAAAATTCACAAGGGAAAGGAAGCAACTGACATCTGTCCTTCGATGGTACAAAACTCCTCGTTTAGAGTTTCTAGTCATAAAACTCCTAGTTAAGAGATTCTAGTCATAGCTGACATCTAATTCTTTTTAAAAATAGGAAACTAACTCTTAAGAATATGATACCATGTACAGCTCTCCTCAGCAGTACAGAATGCAATATACACCAGACTTCTGCCTGTCTTTATTCCTAGCACTCGGGAGCGAGTTTGAAGCCAGCCTGGTCTACACAGCAAGTTCTAGGCCAGCCAAGGCTACACAGTAAGCTTTTGTCACAAACAAACAAGCAAACAAAAAACCCAAAGACTTCTAAATACCAGTGCAAAGTAAAATCAGGACATATTAGGGGTACAGGAGCGGGAAGGAGCATGTGGGACCAACTGTCATTCTCACATATAGGCTGGAGGAGACTGGCAGGATGCTGGTGGCCAGGGGTGTAGAAAGCAAGGCACGGGGGAGTGATGGTGAATTAGCCCCTGCCAAATGCCAGGCAAACAAAAATGTCAATTTTCTGATCTTCCCAGATTGACTTGCTTAACTTACGGGAAATTCGATGTGGCTGCAGGTTGTAGCAATTTGAGAAGGAAGAGGGAGGGGAGAAAAAAGAGGGGAGAGAAAGAAAGGTGGAATGGGAAAGAGAGGATGCAAAGATAAATTCTGGGTGATAGAACCAACTCTTTAAGATTCCTTCGGAAACTCATGCCTTCATAAGCTATCCTCTGCTGCTTAAAATCCAGGCGGCTATAGCTGACTCCGAGAAAACGGGAGACGGGAAGCTGCATAACTGCTATCTCAGTTCTCACCCTTTCAGTCCTTATGGTGGAAACTGATGCTAAGGTTCACAACACATGGACACTGCCCGATTCCCTCTCCTGAAATCAGGAAGATTTTGCTCTCCTGAACCCTGCGTTTCCCCAAGGGGTAGTAAATGGAAGGTGGTGACGACTGGGTTTGCATCTGGTGAGAGGAAAGAGTACTCATCACTCCTGTGACGTTCTTTCCAGGCCATCCCAGCAACAACGATGTCCTTGGCTTCGAGAAAAAGAGCGTGCTGCAATAACAAGACAGGGGTGAGTAAGGAGCAGGGGGCTTGGGGGCAGAAGCACATGAACAGCCAAGGGCAGCTGAGCCATCAGCACCTGGGCTGGGCCTCAGTCTTGGACAAATGCTGTCGGGGTTTGTTAACCAGTCAGCTAAAGAGTGAGAAGACAGCTTTTCTTTTCCCCCAAGAAATTTAGCTTTGAGCCAGGCAGTGGTGGCGCATGCTTTTAATCCCAGCACTTGGGAGGCAGAGGCAGGCAGATCTCTGTGAGTTCGAGGCCAGCCGGGTCTACAGAGCTAGTTCCAGGACAGCCAGAGCTGTTACATGGAGAACACCCCCCCAAAACAAACAAACAAACAAACAAACAAACAAACAACAAACATCTAGCTTTGGAACCAGCCTTTGGCCCTTTCCTCAAATTTCAGTTCACCTAAAGAAGCAGAAGCTTTTCAAATGAGGATTTATGTCACATCCAGAACTGTAATCAACTTCATAATATTAAAATACCTGTTTTGAGTAGTATATAAAATGCTTAGAGCAAATGCGGCCTCAGTTTTTTAGTACCAATGGAAAGATTAGTTTGCTAGGTTAATTGCACTTAGTTCCAACTTTAATTCTTGAAGTTCTTTTTTTTTTTTTTTTGGTTTTTCGAGACAGGGTTTCTCTGTGTAGCTTTGCGCCTTTCCTGGGACTCACTTGGTAGTCCAGGCTGGCCTCGAACTCACAGAGATCCGCCTGGCTCTGCCTCCCGAGTGCTGGGATTAAAGGCGTGCGCTACCACAGCCCGGCTTAATTCTTGAAGTTCTTAAAGGAGACATCAATTATTTTTCAAACATTTAATACCTACCATACCTTAATTCCTCAAAACTCTAATGTGGGCAATGGTCACATCATAGTTTATTTTAATTAATAATTAATTAATTTGATGGGGAGTTGTTTGTTTTGTTAAGACGGGCTCTCTTGCTATAGCCCTGGCTGTCCTGGAACTCACTATGTAGACTGAGCTGGCTTTGAACTTGCAGAGATCCACCTGCCTGTCTCCTGAGTGATGGAATTAAAGACCATGATGTCTGAGAGATCTTGTTGTTGATCAAAACACTAGTAGTCAGAAACAAAACAAAACAAAAAAACGGAAATAATTCACCAGGGTAGCACAGTAAGTATTTTCTAATCAAGCCCACTGGACTCCCAATTTCAGTTCTTACACTATTTACACCATGAATGCAGGTGGCAGGGGGGTTAGGGGGGTAAGGTCTAATTCTCTAAGGCAGGGGTAAACCAATGAGAAGCACCACAATCAATACATGGGGCTGAGCTCAGCATAAAGGTTTTAAATCAATGGTTCCCATTTAGATGAGAACACACATAGATCTAGGAAGGTTTCAACATACCTGCCTATTCATCAAGGGTCTGAAGGACACAATACACAATGCTCAGGAGCTAATAGTTTTCCGTAAGGAAAGGAAAGTGTTCTCTTGCTCCATTTTTGACTTTGAAATAATCATAATCACTAACAACTTTGTGAAACACAAAAATTAAATTTTGAAAAAAACACATTCAACATTAACTTTCTTTTTTTTTTTTTTTGCCAAATTCCACATTTTATCTGTTTGTGTGACTCGGATTCATGAAAGGCACAAACTTTCCCTCCATGGTATTTTCGACTGTGGGTAGATTTAGACCCTCCACCCCTACCCCAAAGGGGCATGTGGCATTGTTGAGATGGCTTTTAGTTGTCATACTGGACTGGGAGAATGGAGTGATACTAGCATATGATGGCTGGAGACCAGCGATGCTGACTCATCTCATCCTGCCTTGGAAGGGCCCCAATAGCAAAATGCCCACTTCAGTGTGCAGAGCTGAGCAGTTGTGCTCTCCACCCTGCTGACTGATTACTTCAGGATGTTGGCCACTGGCCACTTAGACCATCGGCCAAATATGGATGGAAGAATTGGGAGCCAAGAGCCCAGAAACCAAGCTTTAGGTGGTTAAGGTCTAGTGGAGGTTCAATGTAGTTAGAAGAACTATATACAACAGGAAGGAAGAACCAGGTTTCAGTGGCCAGAAGGAAAAAAAACAAACCCAGAATATGAAAGTTGAGATTTTGACATTGACAAGACATTGACAAGCACAATCATCTTTTGACAACTGTAATTCAACAGCAGACTTTGGTCTCTGCCCCTTTTATAAACCCACATCTAATCAAACTGCAGCCTGGAGACTCAGGACCATATGGGGCTAGGGAGATGGCTCAGTCAGTAAAATGTCTTACATATGAGCATGAGGGTCGGAGTTTGGATCCCTAGGATTCCCATAAAGGTTAGGTACAGTGCAATCTGCCTATAACCCCAGTGTCAGAGGGGCAGAAAGGGAGGTGCCGGAACTCACTGGCTGGCCAGCCTAGCCAAATGGTTGAGCTCCAGGTTCAGTGAGAGATGCTGTCTCAAAAATAAGGTGGGGAATGAACTGGTAAGGGAAGACACCCGACATCAACCTCTAGTTTACTGCCCCCCACCCCTACGCACACACGTGAACACACACGCATGTGCAGAACACACACACACAAAAACATGTACAAATACCATATCCATATATATATATATATATCTACAAATAAGGGGGGTGGAAATCTAGGAGCACAGACTGAGTGAAGAACTGTAGTCAGGAACTAAGTAGTAAGACAGTAAGTGCTACACGATACTGCTGTATACCTTGAAACAGATGCAGGACATATAAATGACGTGTGCAAATGTCCCCGCTTTGTTTTCCAGATGTTTCTTTCATCGCTCTTAAGTGTAATCACAATCATTGGTGCGGTGTATTGCATGTTGGTATCACTCCAGGCTCTCTCGCAAGGTCCTCTTATTTGTAGCTCTCAAGCCAACAGCACCGTCTCTTGTGAATTCTCATTGAAAAACTTAAGGTGAGTAGCGTTTTGTCTCGTTGCCTCGCATAGCTGCACCTGGTTATGATGCACCACGCTGGGCTTTTCTCTGTTCTGACTTCTGGGACAAACATTCTTAGGGACTTGGTAAATGAATACAAATAGGTAACGTCTCACAAAGAAGTGGAGGGGCTACCACAACCCAAATGCTCTAGGTATGGTCTCACCGAAATGGTCTAGTTGATCTCAGGTGGCTTATACTTGTCTTGTAAAAATTCATGGTTACATGTGGATGTCTCTTAAAAGTTCTGGGAATATATACTTGATTTAAATCATTGGGAATAGTAATGGGTGAGTGAGGGGAACATTTACGTTCTACATGTCTGCACTAATTTTTTTAAAGTTAATTTTTATGCGTGTGAGTGTTTTGTCTACATTCAAATGTCTCACATTTGTACAGTACCCACAGAGGCCAGAAGAGGGCACTGTACCTGGAACTGGAGTTACGCATTTTTTTTTTTTTTGTGGATGCTGAGATCTAAACCCAGGTCCACTGCAAGAGCAACAAGAGTGCTTAATTGTTGAACCATCTCTCCAGGCCCTATTATTATTATTATATTACTATTATTATCATTATTATTGTGTGTTTTGTACTGTGAATGTAGTATCTACAGAGGCCACAGGTGATGGATTCCTGTAGAATCAGAGTCATGGGCAGTTGGCAATTGCGAGCTGCCCCTAGTGGGTGTTGATAACTAAACTTGGGTCCTCTGGAAGGACAGTATGTGCTCTAAACAGCTGAGCCATCCCACCAGTCCCTAATTAACCACTAAATTTGTAAATCACAGATGGTTTCATTTTGTGTATGGTGTTCATGAGTTTGCAATGTTTGTTGGTATGCGTGTGGACAGATGTGCACATGTGTGCCAACGCATAAGGAAGCCAGAGCTTGATGATAGGTGTCCTTAATTTTTCTCCACTTTATTTACCAAGGCAGGGGCTCTCACTCAACCTGGAGCCTGATGACTCAGACAGCCAGCTTGCTTCAGGGACTCCCTTGCTAGCCTTCCCCAGTGCTGGGATTACAGGGGGCTACCCTATCTTCTTGTTTTCTTATATGGGTGCTGGAAATTCGAACTCTGACCCTCAGGCTTTCCCAGCGAGTGCTTTATTCATGGAGGCACCACCCTAGCCCTTTACTTTTGAAACTTAAAAAAAAATAAAACACAAGAAACAGCAGCTAGTAGGTACTTGTGGTCATGTTATGTACTTATAGACAGAAATAAAAATATTTAAGTCATGTAGCAATGTATTACATTGGAAGTTATGTATACATGGTCCATTGAGACAATTCTGTGGCTGAATTTAGGCATAACTTGCAGAAACAGAAGACCAATCTAATCCATTAGCTACCTTTAATTAGCTATTTAGTTTGGGAAATCCACCAGATTTAACTTTTATACTTTTGTCAAACAACTATTTTTTACCCATTACCTACTTTTTAAAAAGTCAAAATTTGTATAGCAGTTATTGTGAATTCCCAAAGGAATTTCTTTACTAGTAGGGACAATCTGAACTCCCAACCACAGCTACTGTACACATTTAACCCTCAAGGGCTGACAACAGTCTACCGATATAGTGGGTCGCAGTCCAAGCTTTGAGGACAGCAGCACTGAGATAGCCCCTCCCAGTCTAGCTGAGGAGGCCAATACAATAGGGCAATCCTGTAGTCTCAGCAAATCCATAGTCTCACAGGCTATGTGTGGAAATACTGTTATTTTCTCAGGTCCAAAGTCAGTTGTTGGGAATCTAGAAATGTGCACCCCCTAAGAGTACTCCATTTTATTCTGATAAACAAAAAATAAAAGAAAGCCAACAAACAAAAGTCATCTTGAGACAGATGTGTTAGGACTAAAAGCTGCTCGCTTTATGTCAGAAGGGGCATATATCATTTTAATCAGAAGTGTTTGAAATGCTGAGACTAAAAACCATTCACCTGGCCTCAGAGCAGATCTAGGTGAAAAGCTTAGTTGTGTGCATATGTTTGTTCGCTTTCCACCTTTGGAAAGTAGAACGGCTGCACGGGACAGGTTCAAATACCTGACAGAGTTGATATTTATCTTCATCCCGACACGGGAGAGCGTGCATCTTATGTAGTTCACCTTAAGGTCAGGTGTTCTATGGAGAATGATACAATGTGTGATGAGTAAGGGTTTTAAGATTAGGGCTATGCTTATGTGCTCGGAAAAACCAGATCTTAGCTCTGGTTTCTGGACACAATCTTTAAAACTGTACACTGGGTCTTACTATACTGGGACTTTTGTTTTGTTAACAGGCACATTTAGTCCTTCTCTTTTTCCCCCCAGTGACTTCCATCCTGAATCCTTCAGTCTGCAGTGGTTCTTCCAAGACTCTTGTGTTTCTCCTACTGGTTTAAAAAACTCCAGCATCAGTGACATCATCAATAACTGGAGCATACCCAACTCTAACTCTGAAGAAGACAGACACAGGATTTTCCACTTCTCAGTATTTCTCAGTCTCCTGCTTGTTGGAATTCTTGAGCTCCTGTTCGGGCTCAGTCAGATACTCATTGGTTTCCTTGGCTGTCTGTGTGGTGTCTCTAGAAGAAGGAGTCAAATTGTGTAGCTTAAAGGGTAATAAACCAGAATATCAGTACTTTGAATAATTTGAAAATTGCATTTAAAATATATGCTTTTATAAGTTCAATGATGAAGCATCATCTGGAACACCATGTCATTTTAGTGCAAAAGTTGTTTTGAAATCGTCTCTGAAGCAACTTTACAAAACAACCAGTCTATCAAACTAGACCAGAGTGGCACATGCCTTTAATCCCAGCACTCAGAGGCAGAGTCAGGCAAATCTGAGTTCGAGGCCAGCCTGGTCTACAGAGCAAGTTTCAGGACAGTTAGGACTACATAGAGAAACTCTGTGTCATGGGCAGTTGGCAGTTGTGAGCTGCCCCTAGTGGGTGTTGAGAACTAAAAACAAAGTCAAAATCATTAAAACAAACAAATCAACCTTTCACATATAAAGCATATTGTACATGCTTTATGGAAAAAAAAGTCATCAGTGGTTGGTATTGGGGAGAAGACAGCCAAGCTTTTTTGTTTTTTCCCTGTGAGTTGAAAAAAGTTCTTAGACCTGACAATACTTTGATGGTTATAGAAGTAGGTATCTTAGTCTTAAGAAATATTTATATGTTTAGCGAGGAAGGCCATGTTTTTAAAATACTTTACCCCCAAACCTGAAGTTGACAGAAAAACTGCTGTATTTAGCTGATAGGCACATGGCAATTCATTCTACTCTTTCTTTTGTTTGTATCTTTTCATGATTTATGATAATACCTTGAAAAAAAATCAGTCTTTTCAAAGCTGGTTTCTATTTATGCTGATCTTTAAAAGGTAACAAAATGTATTTATTGTATCAATATGTTATGGAACAGAGAAAACTAAAAACCTACAACTTTCTGAATGTTATCACTCCTGCAATTGATTTCCATTTTTATCTCAATCTTACTGGGCTTCTGATTTTGAAAGTGGGCTGGAGAGATGGCTCCTCGGGCAAGCACTTACTCCTCCTGCAGAGAACTGAAGTCTGCTTCCCAGCAGCCACACTGGCATCTCACAGCAGCCTGAAACGCTAGCTCCAGGGATCCAGGACCCTCTTCTAGACTCCAGGGCAACTATGCACACACACATACAAATAAATAACTCAGCCTTAGAAAGTGATTTTTTTTTTTTTTTTTTTTTTTTTTTTTTTTTTTTTTTTTTTGGTTTTTCGAGACAGGGTTTCTCTGTGTAGCTTTGCGCCTTTCCTGGAACTCGCTTTGGAGACCAGGCTGGCCTCGAACTCACAGAGATCCGCCTGGCTCTGCCTCCCGAGTGCTGGGATTAAAGGCGTGCGCCACCACCGCCCGGCTAGAAAGTGATTTTTGAAGAGAACTAGACAGATGGCTCAGCATTTAAGAGTACTTGCTGCTCTTGTGGAGAACTTGGGTTCAAGTCCCAGTATGTACATGGTGGCTTACAACTATCTCTAATCCAAATTCCAGGGGATCCAGTGCCCTATTCTGGCCTCTGTGGGCACTAGGTTCACATGCATTTACTTAAACAGCAGGCAAAATACCCATAAAGTAAAAATAAATGAATCTTAAACCAAAACAAAACCAAAAAACCTTGATGGTAACTGAAATACCAATTATAACCGTCCAAATAAATGAGTACATCCAGAACTTGGAAGGCTTTTGATAGCGCAAACTGCATGAAGAAGACCTTTTCCTTAAGCCACCCCTCCCCCACATACCTAGTAATACTTAAGGCTTAGCTTCAGGATATTCTTTAGTCCCCTGTGTACATGATCACAACTAACCAAGTCAACACTCACCCGAGCCAGGAAGTTCTCCTGAAACATGAAGGTCTTTCTGTCTACCACAGAATTAAAAAGATCAGGAACCACTCCTTCCCATCCATTCATCAGCCTTTGTCCATTTTTGCTCTTCAGTAAGACCTCTCCTCCCGATCCTTACCTCTACACTACTCCCCCCACTTGCCTCCCCCCCCCCCCCCAAGTGTCTTATCTTTGGCTGAGTCCTTTTCATCCTCCAGCACATCATGGCTATTAAGAGTTTGACATTTACTTTGTCAAACCATCTAATGACATCTGGGTTCTTTTTGCCTTCTTAGTTTCTTTTCCCGTCGCTGTGATGAAAATATCCTGACGACAAAAGCAACACCAGGAGAAAGGGTTTATTTGGCACAAAGTTCAAGGTCGTCCACCACGGGAGAAGTCAAGGCAGCAGGAGCTTGGGAAGTGGCTGGTCACATTGCATCCACAGTCAAGGAGCAGGCAGATGAATGCTAGCTGGTGCTCAGCTCTTTCTCCCACTTTATATAATCCAGGAGACCATGCTGGGGAGGGGGGAGGGAGAGGTCCCAGCCAACAATTAACAAAACAAAAGCCTTCCCACATTAACACAATTAAGATAATCCCCCACAGGCATGCCTACAGGCCCATCTCCCAAGTGGTTCTAGCTTCATCAAACTGAGACCACTAACTGTGACAACTCCTCTATGGTGTTAGTATTTTCTTTTTAATTTTCAGTATGGGTATTTGCCTGGGTGTATGTTTGTTGTGCATTATGTGTGTGCACATGACTGAGGCAGTCAGGTCCTCAGACTGGGATTACAGATGGTTGTGAGCCATCATGTAGGAGCTGGGAATTAAACCTGGGTCCTCAGGCAGAGCAGCCAGTGCTCTTAACCATTGAGTCATCTCTTCAGCCCTGGTGTGATTCTGACACTGCTACACTGCACTGTCCCACACCGGATCATAAGCTCCATGGGTGCCAGACCATGTATTTTACTTACTTCCAGTGTAACCAGTGCATAGCACAGAGTACCTGCTACAAAGTAGTACCAAAGTAAATTTTCTGTTGAATGAATGCTAGCTTCAGCACACGGACATCAGTAAAGACAATGCTTACTAATTAATACCAAACAGCCAATAGACATGAAGTAAAAAAGATAAAATGAATGCCAGCTCACTGTACTTGGGTAAACAAATTAGGATCTGAGATGGGTCTTGGATTTTTCTCATCGCCTTGGAAAGGGGTGATAAGAGTCCCTGCTCAGTCAGAAAGAGACTTAAGACTCAAAAAACAAAACAAACAAACAAAAACCCAAAAAGACCTCTGGCGGTCACATCATCGGTGGAAACAGCTGGGTTATTTCTTTGCTCTTTAGTCTTATGGGAACTGATGTTACAAATTGAATATCTAACGCCCACAGACCACCTGAAGTTAGCATCTTTTGAGGGCATTTGATCTTTGATCTGGTACCAAAATAGCAAATGCTTGTCTGTATACATATGAACAGGCACCCTTTCCCACCCAACACTAAAAACAATCATTTGCAAAATCCAATGCTTCTTATCTCCAAGTTCAGCCTCATTTTAGAACATATTTGTACAGTTTCTGAATCTAAAACTCATTTTTTAGCACATATCTCAAGTTCCTCTTCCTCAGTATAACTTTTTATAATCCTCATTCTTTAAACATCTTTTCTACATTTACACACTTATTTGTGTGCTTATGATGCGTGTGGATGTGCATGTACCAGCACAGTGCTTGTGGAAGTCAGAAGACAACTTCCAGGGTCAGTTCTCTACTTTATACTCAAGTTCCAGGATCTGACAACAGTACCTTTACCCGGAGTCCTCATTATTTACTATACTTTCTTCTCTCCCGTACCACTGACCCCAATCTGTCAATTCCTCAAGAACAGAAAATGCTTCTACAATATTTCCAAAGGCAGAAAGACAAGTGTTGGAATTCTGAAGGTGGTGTGATCATTTCTGCTCTTTGTAGTTCTTCAATGCTCATTAGCCCCAACTGTATCCTTCTGTCCCTCCAATCCCTGGAATCTCTGTTCTCTGCTTATGGAAATGTCCATCTGTCTCTGCTCCAGTATCTGCCAAATATTTCCTGACTATCCTGACTAGGATTCAATTTGTTCCTCTTAATACCCCTTCCCATGCCCCTTACCCCCAGGAAATAAACAACCTTTTCCTAACCATTTAGCAAGTAAATATTACAATGAGAAAAATGATACAGTTTTATAAAGGTTTTTGGTTTTGTTATGAATCACTTCGATAGATTCAATAAATTAGCAAACCATTTACAGTGCCAACAAGCCCAGCTCCAGGGTGGAGTTCTGAGAAATCCAGGAGGCTCTTGTGACCTGCAGGTCACTAATGCACTGGGACAGGAAGACTCGGAGAAGATATTAGCCCAGAGCACCATTTGATGAAATAAATCTTTCCACAGACATTGCTTTGGTTGACAGTTTATTAAGTACACTACATTTATACCTCATTTTTAGTTTTTTAAATCATTCACACATGGACTTGGTAAAAACATATTTTATAGAAAACTAAGATGAAAATCAGAGTAACATATTGCACACAGATAAACTGCTGAATCGTTAGGAGTTTTTACACTCCCACTGCACAGGTGATCAAGAAGAGTTAGGTGGTTTGACTTTTCTTAAGTGCTGCACCAGACTATGACTTCAAAAGCGTTAATGCTGTGATGCAGATACAAAAAGCATCTATCAAAGAAATTGGTTAGTCATCTGAGAAACACTGTTTTCTTTTACAGATAGTTTTCTAAACTCACTCTTTATGACTGTCATTTCTTTTTTGAGAATTAGCTGCACAGACTGATGAGCCCCCCCCCCCCCCCAAAAGTGATTTTCTTTAAGAACAAACAAACAAACAAACCTAAGCCTATTTACAAAACATGCAAAAACAGAGTGTGTAGGAGCCACTGCGGAACTGGCTGAATACAGATCAGTAACAGAACAGTCCCCTGCTTTCTGGAAGAAATACATTTCCAGGGCTGGGATTATAAAACGGCATACAATGCAAAGACAGAAACAACGAAGTTTGCAAATCCTTTATATTTCCAGATGTTGAGACAATCAATATATGTGAATGCTGAGGTTACCTCTAGCGTCGAAACCAGAGCCAGCTATTAAGCAGCCAGAATGCTACAGTAATTGAATACATGACCATTTCTCTTTTAGCACGTTCTTTATTCTCCTCTTCTAGAAGTTGCAGACGTCTATTTAATTTGATTATCTAAGTGAAAGACAAATACAAAATAGTACTAATGCATAGAGCAATCAGATTTTTAAAAAACAGTACATTAACTTGTCAAAGAAATTATTACACAGAAAGTTCCATTTGGATCAAAATAAATATAATTATAAATAGAAAAGAAAATACTGCCCACAATATTTAAATGGATTTAAATATGCTTCTTCATTTCCATTCTGTGAATCTGATTTAGGGAAAGTGTATAAGGACACTGTTGCACTATGTTCTTCTGGTGGGAAACATGAAGTGTGTCAGGAGGGTCTATCATAGGAGCAAAGGATGTCTGCTCTTCTCTGTGCCTCCTCCATGAGCTCAGCTGTGTAGTCTCAGACTTGGAGAACTGTGTCCACTCTAATACCCAGACAGCCCCAAACCACTTTATTATAGTGGACCCTCTGATATGCCATTCAGATCTTCATTATATATTTGGCATACATAATGAGAACACCAAATATACCTTCCCTGCATGGGACTGCCTCTGTGTAGAGGCAGCAGGGATGCATATCAAAAATAAGCACATGAGAACCACAGTTATAAGACAGGGATTATGGGTAGGCTCATGAAATATGTATGTAGAGGCAATGGGAAAACTCAAAGCAGTGGTTTCTAAAGTAAAGAAATTATACATAGTAACAAAGATCCCCAAAGTGACTGTCCACATATCAAAAGCAAAACACAAAATTGAGGACTAGATTGGTTTATTAGTACATCAAGATTCTTTGATACTGGCCAGATTATATCAATCATTTTGGTATCAATGTTTTATGTTGGTCAAAAACATTTGAATGATGGTTTAACAAATCTTTAATAAATCTGAGAAAATCAATTATGGCTTACTAGATAATCTGAACTCATGGGATCCATAGGAGAGAAAATAATAAAATTATGCAAACTATTACTTTGAAATATTTCACAGAGATAGCTTTAGGTTGTTTTATTTGGGGCAGTAATTACCTGACGTCTTAATGAAGCTGCATCTACCACAGTCATGTCATCTGATGCTCCTTCAATGGCTGCATCTATGTTTGAAATGCCATACCTAGCAGGTAAGATATGGAAAGACAAGTTAAA